TCCGCGCTCAGCCCCGTCCTCACCCCCACCCTGACCGTCACCTCATCCGCACCTCATCTGCACCCTCAGCCTCCTCCTCATCCCTTCCCTCATCTCGCCGTCACTACACCCCCACCGTCATCCTCACCTCACCTTTGCCATCATCTTCACATGCATACTCATCCTCATCCTAACCCTCACTTGAATCCTCATCCTCACTCACCCTCACAGACTGGTCCCGTCCCCATCCCCGATGTCAACAGGTCCCAGTGCAGAGCGGCCCTGGGGGCTCCGGCAGCGGCCACACACACGTCGCTGTCCCCCAAGAGCAGAGCCTGGTGTCCCCTCGCTGCCCACACACCCTCGGCCCCACAAAGAGCCCCCAGTGATTCCATTTCTGGGGGACTGGGAGACACATATCGCCAGACACCAAAAGCAGCTTCCAGGGACATCCCTTATTCCTGTCCCTAAATCCCTGGTAGAGGGTTCTTGGCATGGCTAAACCCTGAGAGACCATCAGCTCCCTGGGAGCAGAAAATAAAGAGCAGCTGAGGGAGCTGGGGGGCTCAGCCTGGAGAAAAAGAGGCTCAAGGGGAATCTTGTGGCTCTGCACAACTCCTGACAGGAGGGGACAGCCAGGGGGATCGGGCTCTGCTCCCAAGAAACAGGGACAGGACAATAGGAAATGGCCACAAGCTGCACCAGTGGAGGTTTAGGTGGGATATCAGGGAAAATTACTTCACTGAAAACATAGTCAGGCATTGAAACAGACACCAAGGGAAGCAATGAAGTCATTGGAAGTGGTCAAAATCATGGGCATGTGGCACTTGGGAATAGGGATTAATGAGGCCATGGTGGTGCTGGGGATGATGGTTGGACTCTGGTCTCCGAGAGCCACTCTGACTTAAATGATTCCATAATTTTATGGACATGAAACCCCAGTGTACATGAAACAGAGGGCAGAGCCTGCTTGAAGGCTCCTTCTCCATTCACAAAACCATCCTCTGCCTTGGGCAGTACCCCAGCTATGGGAATTGGTTCAGGTGTTCCTAATGGAGTTTTCCTCAAGATCTGTCCCAAAGTGAACCAGCTCCTTTGAGGCCATGGGGTGCTGGAGCTGGTTACCCAAGCTCCCTCAGGAAAGTGGGATCCTGCAGGCACAGGGAGCCACAGGAGCCTTTATCCTTCTCCTGTTTGTCATCCTAACCTGTGAGGAGAGCATGCCCCATGGGAAAGGGGCTCTCAAGGAGTGGCTGTCACCTCAGCTGGTGCCATTAGTCACAAAGGCCATGGTGTGCGAGCTGCTCACGCTCCAGCAGCTCAGCCCTGGCTGAGGCACTGAGGGAGGGAAATACCTGGTGCAGAGCCAGGAGAGGTTTTACAGCCGGAACGAACAAATGTTGAACATCACCGGGAGTGATGTAAGGATCTGCAAGCCAGTCTGGAGGCTCAGCTCCTCTGAGCCGTGGCACAGACACCTGTGACTCCCTCAGGGGCTGTTCCCTCCGGCTCTTCCACCCCATCCCTTCCTGCTCCTCCAGCATGTCCATGGCCCTGCTGGGAGGAGATGCTGGAATGGCTGAGAGTGTTGTTCCTGCAGGACTGGGGTTCCTGGGGTGGGTTTCTTTCCCAGCACTGTCTGTGCCTGCTCTGTGCACACAGGGTCAGACTGGCGTTTGAGGAATCGCTGGATGGTTTGGGTTGAAGGGACTGTTAAATATCACCTTGCCCATGTCCCTGCCATGGGCAGGGACACCTTCTACAATCTCAGGTTGCTCCAAGCCCTGTCCAACCTGGCCTTGGACACTTCCAGGGATCCAGAGGTAGCCCCAGCTTCTCTGAGTAACCTGTGCCAGGGTTGCTGAGGTATAATTTCTTCCCAACTTGCCATCTAACCTTCCCTTCTCTTTAGGTTAAAGCCATTCCCCCTTGTCCCATCACTCCATGTCTCAGGGGGAGTGGTGCAGGCAGGAGATCAGCCCTGTCCTGTCCTGTCCAGGTCTAGGAAGAGCTGAGACAGCAACAGAGCCCCTCCAAGCCTTGTGCACACCGTTAGTTATGGGACACCGAGCCCTGCTGTCCTTACTTATTTCCTGTCTGTCTCCATTTGTTCCCACCCTTTTTCAGCTTTCTCCCAGCCTGAGGACTCAGCTTTCTTCCTGCCCCACCACACTCCTGGTGTGAATAAAACCAGGAGGGAGGCCATGGAGAGGGTGTTCCAGGGAGCCCCAATGCAGGAGCACTCTGCCCATCCTTGACCTCAGCTCCCCTGAGCTCCCACAGGGCTGTGACAGGAGCCCATCACTCCCATTCCCATCGGGAGAGGTCCATCCAGCTTGGAGCCTGTGCCCAGCTCAGCATGACCTGCTGAGAGGAGGCTGCACCAGCCCTGTTTGCTGACAGCTCCATTTCCAGGGCACAGCACTATTTCCATCCAGGAGTTTCCTCTGCCTGGGAAAGCATTATCTGCTCCTCCCACTTGCTGCCAAACCAGCGGCTCACACATGACCCTTCAGGAGAGAACAGCTTTGCTCAGCCCTCCTCTGGCTTCTCTCCCTCTAGTGCTGCTGCTGCTGTGCTGAGGGCAATGTTGTGTGGATGTTTTACTGCCAGTATTCCAAGGGAAATGTGATTTATGGATGTTTTTCTTACTCCAAGAAGATATGGACAGGCTGGCACTCAAGTCCTGGTTCCTCGGGTGGGATAAGCAGCTCTGCCAGCCTCTGCCTCGGTGCTTGGGGAGATTTCCTGGGGAATTTGGAGTTTCCATGATTACCTGTGAGGCAGATCCTTGGTGGAGATAACTAGGAAGGAAATCTCTATCAGCCCGAGGTGTTTCACACTGCTCCAGCCAAGGCTTGGCCTGGCCTTGGCAAAGGGCTTCAATGATATGTTTTTATGTTTTATCACACCCCTGTTTTTCATGGGGTGACATTCCTGGCAAGCCCTGCTGCCCCCCAGTTCCCAGGTTGGAGTTGAGAGGGGATTTTGGGGGTTTTGGGTTTTACCCCCACCTGAGGAGGGCACTGGGGTTTTGGGGACTCTCCCAAGGGATGTCCCCAGGGTAGGATATTTTGCTGCAGCCAGAATGCAGCTGAGGTTGCTTTGTACAGAGGGAGAGGCCCTGAGAGCTCCCCAGAGAGTGAGTAAATCAAGGATAATCAGATCTAATGGCCAAAATGTGGGGAAGGAGTGGACATACTGGACATTCCTGGAATGAGGCTGGGAAAGGCGGGGAAGCACTTGGTGCCATGTCAGACATCAGGAATGCCCTACCAGTGCTGCCCAAGGGACTCCTTGTCCCCCCCTGCCACCAGGCTGTGAGGGCACAGCCGCCTCCAAGGGGGGGCTCAAGGACCCCCTCTCCCCATGGTTTTATCCCATCAGCACCGCCCGTCCCGCTCCCATTCACAAATCCCAATCCCTGCTGGCTCCGTGCCCTCCCAGCCGACCTCGGTGGCCTCGTGTGGCGCCGCTCGGCGTTCGGAGGCATCCGTGGAATGATGACAGCCGCGTCCAGCCCTGCTGCTATACGGCCCTCCCGGGACAGCCCGCCCGGCCCGCCAGGCTCCTCGGCAAAGGGCTCCGATTGCTTCAGCTCCCGAACAATGGGTGCTGGCGGGGGCTCTCAGCCAGCCTCCAGGGCATGGGCTGGTTTTTACAGAATCATGGGTTCATTGAGGTTGGAAAAGACTTCCAAGGTCATCAAGCCCAACCTTTGACCGATCTCCATCTGGTCAACAAGCCCGGAAGACTGAGTGCCACATCCAGTCCTTCCTTAGACACTTCCAGGGATGAGGAATCCACCACCTCCCTGGGCAGCTCCTTCCGATGCCTGACCACCCTTTCCATGAAGAAATTCCTGCTGATGTCCAACCTGAACCTCCCCTGACACAGCCTGAGGCTGTTTCCTCTCATCCTGTCCCTGTTCCCTGGGAGCACAGCCCGACCCCTCCAGCCGCTCCCTCCTGTCAGGGAGTTGTGGAGAAAGTCCCCTCTGAGCCTCCTTTCTCCAGGCTGAGCACTTCCAGCCACTCCAGGTTCTCCAGACCCTTCCCTCTGTCTGGTGCCTGACCACCCTTTAGGGGAAGAACCTTTTCCCAATATCCAACCTAACCCTCCCTGACACAGCTCCAGCCATTCCCTGGTTACTGAGAGAACAGCTCACTCCTTGTCCCTCGCACTCAGCTGCCATCAGGGGTCTGGAGAGTGGTGGCAGAGGTGG